CGACCCTCGTTCTCATTATCGCTTCGGAACCTTCAAATAGTACTTCGTCAGATATGAAAGGGCCATTTTTTGGATGGTTCCCGGACGATATAAATAGCGGATTTTGAGTGGCAAAATTTAGTTTCTATTTGAAAGAAGCGTGGATATTTTTAGGATGCTTAACGGACGTCTAGGGCACGTGCATATCATGAATTCAGGTAAATCGTTGGGATGACCAAGCGAAAGTCATCGGAATCGTTAAAATAAATGACAGTCTATTTAGGAACGCCCCGAAAAACGAAGATCGGCGTGATCTTCAGCGAGGCCCTTCTGGAAGAAATTCGATTAGCTGCCGTTGCAGCCCCCTTCGCCACCCTGGCGTTACATAATGGACCATCGGATTCCTATTATGATTCGCACATTGCGGACGAATTTATTGAGGCTAATTTGTTTCGGCCATATCGCTCGTGCTCTCTATGCGTTCCATTGTACTCGTCGACAAAAGGTATATTCGGACCACCTTCCGTCGCAGTCAGGGCTTTTGATTCCTGCGAACGTTTTTGGCCCATACGTCATCATTATTTAATCGTTTCCTCGGACAAAACCCGGACCGCTACTACTACGCAGCTTTGTACGGGACACATGACGGTCTCGTGTGAGAGCTCTGAGGCACACACAGAGAGATAGAGAAAGAGATAGTCGCCACGCTATGTAACGGATTCTGATGGCGTCGCAATTTTGGGGTAGATTTATTTCGTGGCAAAAGGGCGATATTTCATTTGGTCCGTCCTAGTTATTTGCATAATAATATAAGAACAGGCTGTATTTGAATGAAATATTAATTTTGGTTTTCCATTTAAAGTGACAAAATTGAGCAAAAACTCCTGGAACGTTTTTTTTTATGAAACAATGATTTAAGTTACAAAAAAAAAACAAAAACAAAAATGAACAGTTTCCTTTAAAAATTTGGTCTGAGAATTAAAATGAAAAAGGAGGATTTTGGGTAGAAATTTGAGAAAATGCAAAAACATGTTTTTGAATATATAATCACCGTAACAGATTTCAATCCGTAACCATTTCCAAAACATTTCATAGCCGTTTAAAAAATAGTGGTCAATTTGACAATACGAGAGACAATCAATTAACGTTAAAGGAACCAATTACTTCGTTTTGGTTAATTTTGTTGATGGTTAAGTTTGTTGATTGTAGTTTATTCATCATCGCGCTCAAATTACTAACAAGATATTAAATTTGACTTGTAATAGCATTAAAACGCGCAGGAAAGGCAACTGAAGGATAAAGTGTTTAACAACCAATAAAAATTGTATTTATTTATGAAAAGGACGACAGAAGAAAAAAAAACAAAATAAAACCGGGGTCAGTCAAATCCGATAAAATCTCTCTAAATTTTATGCCGGCGAAACCTTCAAACATGTACGATTTCATGCACTTACAAACACACGAGTCATAAAATTTATACATACGACAAAAATGATATTATTCATTATACAGGGTGTCGCTTATTTTCCAAATATTTTTTCAAGAATTATGTTATGGAACAAGAATTCTAACAACTTTGTAGTTGAGGATTTTTTATTTAATGTCAATAATGTATCTCGTAAACTAGTAAGGCCAAAAAATAACATTTTTACAGGAATCTCTCGAATCAGTGTGTTAGTAGTTCTGTCCTCCAGAGTAACAAAAACAAATACCACGTAACAATCAGCATACTCAACTACAAGTACATAGCAAACTAGCATATTCTCACACGTCTAACAAAGGACGCAAAAAATAGCTTACCGGAACGGCCTTTAACAAAAAAAAAAGGAATTAAAGTAAATCTGCTTAAAGCCAATCAGCAAACAAATAAAGCCAATTGGGTGGCGTTCGGGTTACTATCAATCTCTCGTACGTAATAAAATAAAAAATACTGAGCTTATGTGCGCCGAGAGAGATAAAAAATTATAATTAATTCAATAAACAATGGCGTATCGGTTATACGGCTCGGAGGCGGATCGTTACTTAAGGACGCGCCAGTAAGGATCACTTTGTTTACGTTTTTTAAATTACGATTCGACTGCGGGAAGATTCCGTCGTTCGTACGTTCTCCGAATGTCAAAATTGAAATGTACGAAAAAGCGCGTTTTCGATCAAACGAATCAATTATTCGAAATCTGACGTTTTTGCGGGACGACAAAGTTCGAGTACTTTGAGATATAATAAATGACATTCGCATCATGCTGGAGTGAGTTCTCGGGTCATATTGCGTCATATTCGTCAAACATTTCCCACCATTTTCATATTTCTCGATATATTGTGCCCGTTGGATCCAAAAAACTCGCAAATATTTTCAGTTACTTACTTTCGCTTTTAGTTATTTAATAATTTCTCCGGAGTAAGGCAAATAATGATAATAATAAAAATAATATTTATTATTCTAAATTATAGTATGTACATGTCAAGTTATCTAAAGGTTTTCCTTCCCAAAGGAAGGTGACGTTGAAGCCAACTAAACTTATAACAAAGAGATAACACATACAACATTTCATATTCGCCTTAAATACAACAATTGAAGTTTACCTTATGTAGAGAACGGCATAGGAATATGGCAGGATACAAAGAAAAAGAAAAGAAAGGAGAAAGAAGGGCTATAGGAAAAGATAAAAAAAGATGTTTCTTTATTTAGGCAAAACGCTTCGTGCTAATTATCAACGTGTCAAAAATTTGCATTGTATGTGTCTTTTGGATGAGCCAAATCTTATTTATGAACAGATATAGTTAACAAACGTTGTCCACGAATATTTATTTCGTGAACATCCGTAATATAAGAAGGATATTTTGACTTTTATTTTTACTTGTTTTTATTTCATTTATTTATTTTTTTATTAATTTTATTTATTTTTAATTATATTGTAATACTGTCATACCGAATGCAAAGCACGTCGCTGACCCATGGAAAACCATCCCAACTCTTCAAGCTTAGTGATTTCCTGTCACTTTAATTACTCTACAAACACACGAGTCATAAAATTTATACATACGACAAAAATGATATTATTCATTATACAGGGTGTCGCTTATTTTCCAAATATTTTTTCAAGAATTATAAAGAAGGACAAGGGAACTATTCATTAGCGCCATGAATTATTTGAAAAATATCGCTGAATTTCGAGAAATGAATAAATTTTAAAGAAAAACATGTTTTAATAAATATGAGGAATATTATGGTATTATAAGAAGAATATTATGGTTTTATATTTTTAAAACGTTGTAATAAGGAAAAACGTGGGGAACTATTTGGAAACCAGGGGAAAAAATTGGGAAAAAAGTGGGAAATACTGAGGACAATCGTAGAAAATGGTCAACTTTTATGAATAATATTGGTTAGAGCATGTGTTTTATGACAATGCTATTCTGCCTTGTTCCGTTGTTCTTCTTCTCTATCGTCAACAACTTTTCTGAAATGTCAATGAAATCTATGTTGACAATCTTTCGTTTTTCATTTTTTATTTTCTTCTTTACTCTTTTCAATCTTAAGCCTTTAGCTTCAAAATGTTTCTCCGATCTTGGTTCTTTTTGCTTTTTGTCATCTGTAACAGAAATCTGAGAAGACGACTCCTTCAATATCGCTGGCCTATTTTGATTATGACTGCTAACCTGTTTTTTATGTAGATGTGGGAAATTAATTAAATTTTGTTGTGGAAGAACCCTAACCTAACACAAAGAGTCTAAAGGTTAATGTACTCTGTATTTATCCATACTATTGAAAAGGAGCCCATCAAGCAATCAAAGTAGCTTCCTTGTATGGTGATTGAGATAGTCGCGACGTGGATAAAGTGACTTAAGTACGGGCTAACCTTTTCTTAGGTGAATGTTTACACGAATAGCAAATTTTATCCGATTATCCCATGTCCCAGTCCCACGACTGATGGAATCTAGAGGAATATCAGTACCTGTAACTTTAGAATAAAATGGAAAAAATATTTTAAAGGTTTAGGTAAACATAACCCGAATTCTGAAGATGATCGCTAATCAGTTCGAAACGGTGCATCCCAGACCTAAACTCATATATATCGCTGAATTTGTCTTTGAAAGAACTATCCAAAAATGCAATAAAATGTAGGGTGTTCCATTTAAAAAAATATTACTGTGTTTTACCACCCTAAAGGAGTGACGATTAGGAAAATAAAAAAAATGCCATTTTAATATAAACAACTTTTGTATTGAAATTATTTTTGTAACCCCCGTAGGTTTCGAGATAAGGGGTTATTTTTGTTTATTTATTTTTTCTCAATACAAATTTCATATTCTCGATGTGCTTCTCAACCGCCCAGGATGCTTGCATAATATCATCAGTTACATTATTAGTAGATTGTAAAACATTTGTAACAATTTTAGCGGCACAAATGGCTTCAGAATAGCTTGGCACTTCGTCCTGTTGAACACCATCGTCGCTTTCGTTTCGAGCTTATTATTATTATTATTATTATTATTATTATTATTATTATTGTCATGAACAGTTGGGAAGCTATCCAGCTCAGGAAAATACATTTCAAGGTTGGTTCGAGCTTGGCCGCTATTGCACAACCAATTACTTAGGTGAAGCCCATCATTATGTTTGTACTTCTCGAACCACTGAACCAGAGGTAAGTCGTCGTTTGAATCAAACTCATCTTCCGATTTTCTCAGACTTGCATGTCGAAAGCAGTTTGAACCGGAGAGCCGGAACCACTTCTCTGTGGAACATTTTTAACATGTTATTGTCAATAACTACTCTCTGACATATTTTGCCGAACTGAGACTAAGAAACGATCGCACATGCATAGTCCGCTGCCCGGATTTTTCCAGAACGCCGGCCGTCGGGATCCTCGCGACGCCGTCTTAAACAATATATTCGACCAGCGCGGAGGACGGGCAAAGCGTGAACCGAACGCGACGCATTGCCAGAAGTGGTGGGGGATCCGGTGACGGCAATCAGTATACGGCATACCCGAAACTCTGTCCAGTCCGTTCGTATCTCATTGGGGAGCCGACGTTGTTTAGCAAATCATTCGACGAACATTTTGTACGCTCGACACACGCGAGGCAGACGCGCTCAACGTCCGAAACGTTTCGACTTATGTAGCGGCGACCACCTTCGGTGCCAGTAGTTAGTATATTTAGGTGGCGCGCGTTGCTGACCCGTAGACGATTTTCTTTATGTCCGATTTTTGGGATTTTTCGCGTAGCCCGACCGTCGTCGTCGCCGTTGTGGTGTGCGTGTGTGTGCGGTTAATAGTCGGATTAAGATGCGCTTAAGTGTGGGTGATGCTGCGCACGGCATTGCTCCAATTTGACGCTCTGGATGCACCCGACTGATGTGTAAGTGAGTACGATGGTTTCTTTATCCCTCAAAGTCGAGAAAAAAACTCAAAAATAAAATGAAATTCCAAACTCAACCAACTTAAATCGCAAAATTAAAAAATAAAAAACTGACAAGTAATAGAAAATGTAAAAAAAATAATAACGATAACAATTAATTGTAAATTCAAAAAAAATCGAAAACTCCAGAAAAACTACAATGAAAATTTGACGTTATTCTTTAAAATATTGAAGCCGTTACACCGAGAAATAACTAAAAATCAAAAATAAAAAACGTTTGACCCGAACGAACGCTTTATCATGTAATTGTAAATATAAAAAAAAAACACATAAAAAAATAATTTTCACTACAAAAAAACAAATAAAAAATTTGTTACCAAATGAACACCTGAACATTATTCACTTCGAAATGCCTTGCTAATTATAGTTTCATAACATTGAAACGTAGGGCAAAAGAATAGCTACAAAAACAAATACTTTACAAATTATTAATTTCAAGTTAATCTACATACAATCATTAAAAAAATATATATAATGACCGCCCGCAAAAAATCATAACGCACAAAATTACAAAATTTGTTCTACGCTCAAATACTTTTCAAAATATTTCCAAGCATTGTTCAAATAGACCCAAGAATTGTAAACGAAAATAAATTTGCGACCGTGCAACTAGTTTTCAAATGCGACAAACGCTCAGATAGGAAACAAAATTCCAGGCTCGCGAGTAATCGAACATTTTTCAAGCCTATTCGATTCGTCGACAAAATACGATGGATTTGACGACCGAAATTAACAATAAACTTAATTTTAGCGTCGAAAAATTCGTGCAAAATAAAAACACAAAAAATAATTAAACACGCAAATAAGCTTTAATTTCCAAGCCACTTGAGGAAAATACAATAAAAACAAAACAAAAAATGTCATTATTTGATTGATCGAATCGGCATTGGGCCAGACTACGACTAGTACTTTTATTCGTAATTTTGTTAGTTTGCTTAACTTTTTTATTTTTTAATTTTAGGTACCTGTATAATATTTAAGGTTGAATTGTTACAAATCGAAAATTTTATAAATCAAGCAATTTTTGCTTTAAACTTGCAATTAAACTTGAGAAACTTGATAACTAAGAAACTACTAGTATTTCTACTGATATTGGATCTTACCGTGCCCCTTCTTGTAGCTGCCATTGAACGTATGCTACGATTAAACTGAACTGATTATAAATTAATGCGTAACATAAATATAATACAACATAAAAAAAAATTTACTGTTTCCCATGAGAAATCTAAGAATTTGCGAAGATGCCGAAACTATGGGGTATAAAAATGCGTCTTTGATGTTTTATAATAATATAATTAATAGGCTTACATAAAAGGTTCCCCTATCTTATCGTTGAAAAAAAAAAAAACGGAATCCACTCTTCCGAGTGATGGTCCGATCGAAAATGTCTCGAAACCTCGGGAACGAGCTTGCCTCCCTCTCGAGTGCGAGTAATAAAAATAGAAATTCCAAACTTATCTCTTATCGGACGAGATAATAGAACGATTTTTTTTTTATATTCACGAGGGCCCCCTCCCCCTTATTATTGTCGAATATATGGGAACGCCAACTGATTTTTCTACGTCGTTACCGATCTCCGACTCCTTTCGTCGTGTGTGCATAATTTATGCGCGGAAAATGGGGTCGTCGGAATAAGGGGTGAAATGATTAGGCCGCTAGATGTTCCGTGTGTCTATATTTCGGCAGTAAAAATGCTCGTCGTTTTGTGTGTTAAAAGGCTGCGACCTTCTTAGCCTCATTTTTATCGTATTTTGACCCGACGAGACGCGCTCTGCCAAAACAAGCTGTTGATTGTTTTGGCTTTATCGCCGATTTTGCCGGCCGTCGTGTTCTAATTGAAATATAATCAATTTATCCGGCGATAATCTCGTTCTAAACGGACATTCCGCTCGGTGCGACCAAATGTCAGGGTCGTAGGTCAAAATTTAACCTATAAAACCATATAAGTTCATATTTCATGGCGTATGAAACTTTAGTATGCTGTTTTATATACGGACTGTTATTTACTTTTAGAGGTGGACATTGTCAAAAGCTAGTTTTTTACCCCGTTTATAGTTAGTGTTCGCCTGAATCTTCTTGATTGATTGTTTGTTTTACCTTTTTAAAAAATACAATCATTGATACTTAAAACAGCTTCTAATAAGGACCCCTCAAAAATATTGAAACTGAAAAAAAAACAGACTGGTAGCGCACCCTACAAAAAATAGATAAATTGGACACGTCAAATAACCAGAGGATAGAAATTTTCGTTCACAAGTCGGCATTATTATTTTAATTTCAAATTGTTTAAAAGAAAAAAACAAAAACCACACTTTCTAAGCTAGTTTCTACCGTTCAAATATGTAATAACCCTAGTAGAGTGTCGACAGTAACCCCACTTTCCTGTCACTTTTCATAAAATTGTGGCAATTTTTCTTTTTTTTTTATTCCAATTTTTTAACTAACCAAAAGAATAGCTTGACCTCCGTTTCAATTAAAATGAGGTGTAATAATTCTCCCTTACAAATGAACGATTTTTTTTTAAAGTTCTTATAACTTATAATAAGGGACGTATTGATCCGAATGAGCGCGGATTTTTTTCGTAATTTGGTGACATTTGTTTTGATTTCCCCAAAAGTTTTTGTGTGCACGGTGTTTTGCTCGCCCTCCTTAATAGTTACTTGTGCGGGCGATCTCAGTATGTTGTTGTAAATGGGATAAAATCAAAGAGTACAAATATAACTTCGGGGGTAAAGGGTCGCATTTGGGTCCCTTATTGTTTGCTATTTTCGTATATGTTGTTGGCTAATGCTTTTTACATAATACTTATTTATTTAATAAAGACTACAATTGGATTCGGGGTTTCCTTTTGAGATGCACGTAGAAAATATTGTTCAACAAGCTAAATCTTGGATTTATTTTACCCGTGACTAATGGGTTTAATAATAAAAAATCTTTAATAATACTTTTTTACAGTCTTGTCAGACCCGTGTGGGAAATTGCTACGCTAGTCTGGAATCCAATCTATTTTAAATATATCGAACGAGACATTTTTTTCGTTACAGTGAAAACCTTCATTTCTATTTTATGCAGTCTTTGTAAAATGGAAACATTTTGATTGAATGTCTTTTCGTTTTGGAAAAAATATACTTTAATTGCAATCCCTACATTCCCGTACTTATAACAGGGTAGAGAACGCGTTTCCGCATATTGATCTATTTGCTCTGAGCTTTGAACTCTTTAAACGACACTTAAGACGGTATACTAATTAATGTACTGTAATAAAACGCTGTAATTAGTTCTTAATTAGTTTTACCTGGTAAAAAATAATTTAAACTAGTCCACTGACAAAGTATTTTTTTGTGACAGCTGCATCTGTCTATAGGAAAGACTTGTTTATAAATAAATAAATATTAAGCAATATCGGTCCTTATTGCTTTGACTCTTAAGTGACTCTCTGACCACGTCTTCTGTAACAAGCACTAAAACATTCTGAAAGAAAAATTGAACAGAATCTGGAAGATCTAAAGGACAAAACTGAACAAAAAACAAAAGAAATTGATATAAATTCGCACAAGCACATCGTAAACTAAGAAAAAAATGAATAAAATGTTGTGATATGGCGCAATTGGTTTTTTATTTTTATTACAGACTCATATAATCTATTTTGGTTCTTGCATTTTTGACAACCTTACCTATATAATGCCTTATTAAAACCTGCAACAATTTTATTAGCATTCATCAAGTGAATTTTGTAAAACATATACATTCGACATTCAAACATAAACGAACTATTTTATTGCGACTGACCGATGACCGCGCCGCACGTGACCAATGATAATTGGCCATTCTTCTGAGGCGCTCGTAAAGACATTCTTCTGGAAAATGGGCACCCACGGTCGAATAAAACGCAAGTTGTCGGCTTCTTGCGTATCAAAATGTGCGTCTATTCAACGCTTATCGCACAATGGCGATACATTAGCGATTTTCAACCGTGGCCAGACGCTGTTGCGACCGCCCGGTCAGCAACCAGACGTCTTTTGGTCATTATGCTGAGTGACGTGTTTTCAATTCTAAATTAAACCGTTAGTAATGAAAAAAATATCTCGCTTGAAGCCGTTAAAAAATATATATTTATTTTTTTTTCATAGGGGTTTTTATGGCACAGTGGCCAAGCGTCTTGTTGTTTTTCCATTTTGCGTTGTATTATGGTGATAAAAACGACGACAGAAATGCAAACGCAGTTTGCAAAAAACATCGTATTTCGTTAGATTTGTTTTAAATGGATTTATCTCCAATTAAGTAAAAGTAAAAGAAGGTTTACATAAAAAGAGACAACCGACTATACTAACTGACGAGAATGGTAGAATTATCATGGAAGTGGAAGAAAAGTTAAGAACATGGAAGTAAAACATAATATGATGATAGAGATATTAACAGAACAGAAATAGAACAAGGTAACGGCGGACTAGAATTAACTAAAGAAGGTCACCCATGACAGATCTATATAACACCATATAGGAGACAGGTATTAAATCCAGAGAATGGTTGGTTAGTTTATATCAATGTTCATCCCTATTCTAAAAAAAACCATAATGCAAGACAATGTAATGACTTCCGAACAATCAGTATCAAGAGAAGCATCCTTTTCCCTGAACGTTATTGCCCATCGGTGCAAGGATATCAATCCTCTATGTCTTCTTAAGAAAAAGAAAAGAATTTAGACACCAGAGACATAAAAATCATCACTTATCTTTATTTCAAGCAGAGATCGATGGTGAAAGTGGAAGGAAGTAGCAGAAACAGAAATCCGCAGACGTGTGAGACTGGTGTGCGTGCTATCTCCGATGCTGTATAACATTTACTCAGAAGAAATAATCAAACGAGCATTAGTAGATGAGACGAATTGTATCGTAATGATACTGTCTTGTTGGCTAATAATTCAATTTGTTGTAGCGACCTCAG